TGATAACGCAAATCTAGGTGTATAAATAAGCTCAAGTAATAAAAATCCTAGATACAGCGAATACCGCAAGGATACGGATCAACTGTAGTATCATGGTCGAACACAGGGAATAGTTAACTCTAGGAACAAGACTTGACCAAGAATTAGATCAGGAAATAACAGATGAAATATGTGAATAGCAAAAATAAATCTATAAACGAACTAAGTAAATTCAGATAACTAAACCAGTGTAGCTTCGGGATAACCTTAACGCGCAGGGATTGTTTCTAAGGATGGAGAATCTACGAATATCAAACTCTAAACGGGGATCTCAAGTTCTAAAATCAGATTTGGCTCTCTCAAGTCCTAAATCCACTATCCAATAATCCAACCTATCGATCTCTCAACCTAATAGATTAAAATATCAAATGCATTAACGATCACTATCACAGTTCCTAAACCGATTAACCTATCTCTCAATAGTCTTAATCAATTCATTCAATGAATTCGTTCCGAATCTAATCTCAACTCTCGTTGCAAATCAGAATCTAAAATCAATCAATCAACTGGCCGAGAAGATCAAAAGCAATAAACTCAATTCAATTAAACCGAAGAGTATCGATAACGTAGTCTCGAAAAATAAAAACCAAACAACTCTCTACAAGGTTAAATCCCTAGCTACAGTGAAACGACTACTCACTACCCATAACAATGAACGAGTTCAAATCAATAAGAAGAAACATGGAGAACAGATAAAGAAGACTCACAGCGATCTCTCGACGACGATTCTTCAATCTCTGCTCCCGGAAAACTCCGTCTTGATTCTCTCTCGAGTTCTCTGGCTTTTGCTGTGATCTCTCGATGATTTCTGAAGCCCAAAACGTCTCCTATTTATTTGCTTGGCAGCTAGGCTTCCTTCCATTCTGAAAACGGAAGTTCGGATGCAAAATAGGAAGTTTTCTCGAAATGTAACACGGCCGTGTTGGGGTGAACACGGTCCTGTCAATTGTCTGATAAAAAACTACACGCTTCTGCACGGGCTGGACACGGGCAAGTTGCGTCTCGAATGACCGTGTTTGACCCGACACGGTCCGTGTCAATTGTCTGTAAGAATGTCTTCGTTTCCTTGCTTTTGCACGGCCGTGTTTAAACTCGACTCAGCCGTGCTCAGGTGCAACTCGAGCTGGAAATGCCTTAATCGTTCTGTTCCGGTCCAGTATGCTCCGAAGTCCTCGATTATGCTCCTTTGACATCCATAGTGCGTCCATTATCTGTTCAATCACCAGAGAATGCAGAAGAAGCAAAACCCAATGCTAAAATGATCCTAAATGTCTAATAATGCACACAACCGATGTGAAAGTGCTACACAATGGGCTTTGAAATAGATGAGAAAATCGTGTTATCACTATGATATCAAATATCATTGCATACTTGTCTCATATGTACCATTAAGTCTCGAGTCAAACTTGACAACTTAACCTAAGGTAAACCATGTTCAAGTTGTGGGAACCACGATTTTCCACCCTGCCTCACAAAGATAATCTGGCACGCTCAGCTTGGCATGACCCGTGTTACAGATGATCGATGCCTTGATAGACGCTCTAGTAATGGGAGGTACACACTTAGCATTACATAAATAAGGGATTTTCGAAACCACACCTAGATCAAGCATCTACTTTCAAGCTATGAGAACCACCATTTCTCCATTTTGCCTCACCAAGATAGCACGACACACCCAGCTTTGGCATGACCCATGACACGTACGATCGAGGTCTTGACAAGTGCTTTACTCATAGAGCTCCTAGATCTAACCGGTTTCTTGTGCAACGATTGTACATAATCCGAATAGACCATCCATTCGATTATGTATTCCCAATCCCGAAGCTCCCACTCAATCAAGCATATCTAATATCTTGATTAAGTTGCATGCATTCATTCACTATGGACCATCCAAACGAATGAATCATGCTATTTGAGTTACAGTTTATCAGTTTAAGCAACGATTGTATAATCGGACTTAGAAAACGAAAAAATTTCGGAATCTGGACCTCGGACTGTCCGTTCTGAACATAGAACGTGATGAGGACGTCAGATCTAGCAGCTTGGAGGAGGACGGGAGCATAACGGAAGGAGCTCTTGAAGACGGGAGCTTAACGGAAGGAGCTCTTGAGGACGTTGAAGGCTTGGCCTCTCAGGTGCCAAGAGACATGCCGAGTGATCACGACGTTACACGATCATTCGAAGCCGCAGGAAAAGGATGTCCCTTAAACACCTCAAGGGTCAAACCGTGCTCAAGCGCAGACACGCTAAGTGGCTTGAATTCATCGAGACATTTTCCTACCTCATTAAGTACAAACAGGGAAAGGACAACGTCGTAGCTGACGCATTGTCTCGACGCTATGCATTGCTGGCAGTCATGGAAGCAAGGATGCTTGGATTTGAGTTCCTCAAAGAACAATATGTGACTGACCCGGACTTCGGAACCATCATTGAGGAGTGTAGTCGCGGAACCTACGGCCCATTCTATACCCATGATGGATATCTATTCCGAGAGAAATGTCTATGTATCCCACAAGGGTCGATGCGGGATGTGATACTCCGCGAAGCGCATGGAGGCGCACTTGCTGGTCATTTCGGAGTAGATAAAACGCTGGCCATTGTACAAGAACACTTCTTTTGGCCCCATCTCAAGAAAGACGTTCAGAGGTTTTGTGCTAAGTGTATCGAGTGCCATAAGGCAAAGTCTCGAGTGCAACCTCATGGTCTTTACATGCCACTACCGATATCCACCCATCCTTGGGTAGACATTTCGATGGACTTCGTGCTTGGACTGCCGAAGATACAACATAAGGATTCCATCTTCGGGGTAGTGGATCGGTTTTCGAAAATGGCACATTTTATACCGTGTGCTAAGACCGACGACGCTAAGCATATCGCAGATCTCTTCTTCTGAGAAGTAGTACGTCTACATGGTCTTCCGAAGACGATTGTGTCGGATCGTGACTCAAAATTCCTAAGCCACTTTTGGCGGACGTTATGGAAACGAGTCGGCAC